TTAATTTTTGAGACTCTGCTCAAATCGGGATAGTCCCTTTAAGTGACTTATTGACTAGCAATCAAATTCGATTCAAATTCTTCCGACTAGACCAATCTTTCTTCCATAGCACAAAAACACCCTTAATAGATTTCCATGGTGTAACTTACTCAACAGGGTTTGTTTCTGGAACGTTTGATACCACTTCCCCGGGTTCACCCGTGATCAGGATTGTGTCTTGTGGCAGGTTCTGTTTTACTGTAATTTCTATAAAAAGTTATGTTCGGCGAAATACGCGAAGAGTCCAAATTGAATAGCAGTCTTTGGCGTCTGATTATTCCAGTCTACACCAGTAGTTTTCTCTATGGGGAATCTGTACCTCGAAAGCATTCTGACACGCGATTCGTGTGCCAATTTTAAAATGTTCATTGTGTCGTAAATATCGGATATGAGAAGCCCATCTCTTCACGTTAAGTTAACAACATCAATGTATATTTTAATTGACCAATAAGTTGAGTTTGCAATGTCGAAGACTGTGAATGATATTGAATTAAAGACTTGCCTCCTATAACGAGATTGTGGGTTAGGGTTAGCCCTAACCCGTGCCCTAACCCTAATTACATCTCGTGACGAAATCTGCAATTGGACTTTTACCCCTTGTTCCGAGGTTCATTTTGTTGTGGTGAGACCTACCCGTTACTTATTTATTTCATGAAAGACCTGCCTTCAACCATTATTATATATAATATGTAATAATACATTAAAAAAAAAAGAAATAAAAAAATAATTGAATGTCACTTTTAGTTTTCGAAGAAATTATCAGTGAGCAGAAATTCGGCTGAGATTACAAAGTGGTCTGGGATAATGCCAATCCCGAGACAGATTTACAGGATCATACGAGAATTAAACGATTATGTTCTGTACTATTTTAAACTTGTTCATAATATCTACTACCGGGTAGAAATTGATAGTCAATGCGATAAGAAGAGCACGTAGAAGAGGGTTTGAAATTGGATTTTTTTTATTGTAATCGATCGGAACAATTTATATAAAATGGCTCCTAAACTAGAAGTCAAAAAACATTCCTAACGACGTACATTTTTTAACCTGCCATCATTTTGCAAGCCGACGTTAATCCTTTCTATTTTCGTTGCTGTTAATTTATGATGTTATTTTATTCTTTATGGCTTTATGTATTGATCCTCTATGAACAATTTTATTGATACTATTATTTGAATTACGAAATTATACTTTTACCAATGTCTTACTTTTCTGCTGCAACTGGCCTGAAGAAGGCGGACAGAGCGCGTTTTTTCGACCGCCTCAAACACGCCGAATATGTTAACCTGACATGGAATGAGTAGGGTCATGTTCCTGGAGCAACGACCGTGAGTTTTACAACATCTAGACGTTGCTAGGTTGATCTGCAATTCCCGAACTTATAGCTGCGTTATCTCCCTTTAACATAGACACGTGAACGATGGCGTCCAATCAGAGGTTGTGACACAAGCACTCTCAAATTAAACATAGCGACCCGACCTCCACGGAAACCTTGACATTGAACGAACCTTGAACTTTACAACTCGATTACCACAGGTAGACATTTTAGCTGAAAACCGCGAGACTTGGTATTCACGATGATCAAGGACTCTGATAGGCTCCTCAGCTGTCAGTAGCCAATCGAAATTAGTACCGAAATATTACGTTAAAGCGAGATAAAGCCTTCTATTGAAGATGGAGTAGGTAGGCTCGGAGGCCCCTAAAGAAGTTAATGTTCTCCAGTAGTTTTGGTGCATAGTTTTTAATGAATTGGTAAGCAACGCAGTCTGTGGGGGAGTTTGGTACTCAAGATATACTCTAGACAGCGCCATCAACATTTAATTCAACAAATCCATGGGTTTGAGGCACCCAGGGGGATCACGTGGCTAAGTTGGTAAGACGCTGGCTCGCTAGTCTGGAGGTCGGGTGTTCGATCCCTGCATTGGCCGAGAAAGTTCATTCAGATTTTCCGGCGTGGTTTCCCCTTGTCAGTGATGAAGGGCCTGACAAGGACAGCTGTCTAGTCGTTCGGACGGGACAAAAAACCGAGGTCCCGTGTACACACTGGCGTGCACGTAAAAGATCCCCTGGCAGTTGGAATTCGATACAAGAGTAGGCCGTAGCGCCGCTGCCCGGGCAATTTTCCCTCATAACACACTGTATGACGTATGCCCGTCTTCATTAGCCCAGGTTAGGAGCAGAACAGTAGGACGTTAAACCCCATTTGATTTCATTTGAGGCACCCAGTCCATCCCTGGTGTTTACAGATGTCAACAACATACAAAAAAATGTATTTATGAATTCTAGACCCGATAATGACCGTGGACTATAATTTTATAAGGATTACACAAACCCTAATGAATTCCTAGCCTTGCTGTGGTTACGGATAACTTCTACTAGATAATATACTAGACAGTTTTTTTTTATAAAAAGTTCTTATCTTATTTGTGTTTCATTTGATACACACCAAGCTAACAAAACAAGAAAAAGAGAAAAAAAATCAAAAAGAAAAAAAAATCTATATAAGTTAATGAATTCGTAAACCTGTCTGAGAAGGGGCCTCAATTTCTACTGAACCGAAAATTATAAAGTTATTTGTAAGATCTGGAACTATATTAAAGCTGAATAAATATAGATAAACGAACTTCGTCTGGCACAACATGCACCATTAGTATATAATAAATTGCCCTTATTAGGATCTAGAAATCAGGGCTAACTGAGCTATGTGACTGATTGACTGTTTCTACTTGGCTGGCACCATAATCCTCATTAAAGCCGAGTCGGCATGATCGCTTATCATTTCATTTTGTGGTCTGAAATACTTATTACATACGTGATTACACCACGATCAACAATTGCGTTCAAAACTCGAGTGAAATTCGTGACATTATTCGTCTAATATCGCCATCTTAATCCAGGAGACGACTATCATATATAGATCATTGCCATTGGCTAACATTAGGAAGATTTTAGGTCAGGAGTAAATATTATCTTGGCGTGTAATTGGTCAGTGGAAGTCAACGATTTGGTGTTAACTGATCAACGAGGATTAAGTATCATACAGTATCATAATATTCTAGGTTAACTTGCGTATTTCAGAATGTCTGAGATGGATCAGGTCAGAATAAACACTAAGAAGATTCACCTTGGTCACATATAAAGAGAACTTTTAAACTTGGCGACAATATATTTAACGGCTGTAGGTTTCTCCTGTATAATATTTAGCTCTTTAAGGTGTATTCTAAACGGCAGTATGTTTTTTAAATTAAGGAATATTTTAAATATACCATTTAGCAAATGAATGTTCTAAACACGACAATTTTTTAAATAGATGATTAAAGAATGCATGTTTTAAATAGATGATTACAGAATGCATGTTTTAAATAGATGAACACAGAATGAATGTTTTAAATATAAATTATACCTTTACCGAATGGATGGCCTATATGTCTTTACCAATGAATGTTTTATATAAACTTTTACCGAATGAATATTGTAAATAGGTCATTATATAATGAATGTTTTAAACATATCACCACAGAATGAATGCTTTAAATAGATCATTACAGAATATATGTTTTAAATAGATCATCGCAGAATGGAATGAATGTTTTAAACAGATAATTACAGAAGGAATGCTTTAAACAGGTCATTACAGAATGCATGTTTTAAATAGACTTTTACAGAATGAATGTTTTAAATTTGCAAGTGCGTGTCCAAGTTGTAATTTAAATAGGTACATGCAGACACTATAAATGCTTTTAATAGATATGCATCGGCTGTATGTTTAAATAAACTGTTTTAGAATGTATGTTTTAAACAATCATTGGTTACATGTATGTTTTAAATAGACTTTGAAAGGATGCTTAAACAGACTTTAAATGGAATTTAAAAGAATGGTTTAAAAACAATCTGAACGAGTGTTTAAACTTTCAACTGTAAAAGATAAATAAATAGACTTTCAACGGATATTTTTCAAAAATTAAAATGATGCTTTAAATAGACTACATACGCAACTTTCGATATTTGTCCACAGTTAGCCTCGCTTGAGAACAGACACGAAGCTAGTTGACCGACATTTTAATCCCCATTTCGACGATTTTAGCCGTAAACACTATCTATACTTTTAGAATACTGACTAGTATTTATTCCACTTCCGTTTTCATATGCAATGACATTAAAAATTTTTAGTTTGTCTTTGTGTGTATGGATCGGATAGGAATCGCATTAAAGTTAAGTTAAGAATTTAGTAAACATTCATCCACTGTTTATGAGAAATATCTTTAATCCAGAAACACAAAACTTTGCATATTATAGTTACTTATTGATGTATTTGATACATTAAAATAACAAAAGCTTTATAAAGGGCTATATTTTAGTTCAAATAAGGAGAACAATTTTGAATAAATTCTTAACTTAAGTCTGGGAATGCTTTGTGAACTCGGGGCCTGGGGCCTGGGGCCTGTTTCACGAAATTTTAACTTAAGATAAAATCCAAAATTTTAGTCATTTGATTGGATAATATTTGGTTGATTTTAGTGCTTAGCCAATCAAAATTGAAGTATCTACTAAAATTTGGATTTTATCTTTAGTTAAGATTTCGTGAAACAGGCCCCTGGTCTCAAAGTAGATAGTTCTCTGTGTGCAGACATCTTGGATATCCATACGGTGCTGACCAATCTGTTTCACAGAGGTGATACGAAACCTTTCATCTAACTTCATGTTCCTCTTCTTCTTCTATTAGTGTTTAACACCCGCTTCCACCGTGGGTGATATCGCAGACAAGTTGTCATGTTTTACTATGCTCAGCGCATGCGCAGGAACCTTTCTTGTGGTAGCGAATATTGACTGCTGATAAGTTTGTGTGCCAACCAGTCAGGTAACTTTTTCACTGTGTGTATATGATGTATTGAAGATCATTCAAAATAATAAAAACGAAACGAATTTAGATTGTAATTGAAAAGATTGAATAGATTACTTACCTCTATAAGTAAAATTGAGAGGACTGATAAGCTGGCGTAATGTAAGCAATGGGCTACATACTCCGCATATGTGTGATCGTTTTTTTCCCAATACACATGTCTCACCGCAGTCTCATTTGTCCTGTTCATAGCACTCTGAATATAATAATCATCCGTACGCTGCGCATATCGCCTATGTCTTGTTTCGTTATGTGGTGTATTATTCCGCGCACTATAATCCGTTGTCACGTTACTCTGAAATATATCAACACCAGCACCCCACTGAATATCCGCATGAAACAACCGGTCTATCACGTAATCTATATCCAACATCCTGGAATCTCCCGAGAACTCGCTCGGATATTTGGACTCTAATCCGTCCATTAGGCGAGATGACCTTTCCTCTAATTTCTCTAACGATTCTGAAAATATACAAAATGATGTTAAATGCAAACTGAAATCACTATTCGGTCTTAAATGGAAATGGTATCTGTTACATAAAATGCAGAGGCGCTAGCATAATGTGGAGGGGTTTTTAAAAATAAAAAACTGAATAGGGGACATTCAAGAGTTGGCAATGTATTATATCTATGAAAGGTCCATTTTTATAGTTTAATGTCACACCCACCCAAAACAGATCAACGGAATTTTAAAATAAAAAATAACATTCGGAAATGACGTCATAGGAGCATCAACTAGTGTCCCACCCCTCATTTAACAGTAACAAAAACAAAACTAAAACCCCAACAAAACAAAGCATAAAATTATTATCTTTCCATATTAAAACTGTACATGGCTTTCGGGGAAATGTTAGAATTTATAAATTTGTTTTTTTACGGATCAACTGGCAACTGATCATGGACAAATACGTTAGTAATGGGTAGAGTTACATTTAATAACGACAATAATTAATCTCTTTAATACTAGAGCTTTATAATCCTCCCACTATAAAACAAAGCCTGGAATAACCCAACTCTCATTTTTTATTATCTAATTAATAATAACATAATACGCCTAAGTACCACTTAACGTTTCCACCATAATTGCCTTCATGTCATGAACAATTGGGCATGACGTCACGATTATGTGTTTGACGTCACCGATTATTGTGGTTTATTTGTTTCTGGCCATCAAAAGCGGAAATCATCGAGTGGCCCGTCGTTAGTGAAGTGAAAAATAAGAAATTATTATTAAGTGCTGGCGATAAGTGGTTTTAACAAAGCTGTCCAAAGTCGACTGATAGCAGATAATCGATAAACACGCTCTAGCATATGAAAAACATGTCATACATTTGATGGGGCCATGAACAAGAAGGAAACAAGCTATTGTCAGTGGTCAATGTCGAAATAGCGAATTAAGTAACAAATTTGCCATTGTACCATAAAGTGTATTACCGAGATGATATTCAATTAATTTACGTTACGTAGTGGTGAAGAAAATATTAGATTTTGATAGCTTCTAGCAGTTAATAATCTATTATTTTTTGTTCTTCTCTTAATAACAATTTTGCTGGTCTAAGCTCCGTAAAGACTTGTCTTAAATGGCACATAGACGGAGAATTGTCAAGTCCATTATACGCTCATCAGCATTAAAGTTTGTCTTCTCAATACATATCAAGCTCAAGTGCAGTCTAAGCCCCCCCCCCCCCATCGGTCGTTAAGTTCTATCTGTCGGGGGTGTAAATCTTTCGATTAGCAGAAAATATTCACGCTTGTCCTTTCAAGGTGGCTTTCCACACCCATATGCATTCAAGAAACGATATTTATCACGCATTTCGGAAAACGTATTTTCACTTTTATATGTTTGTGGTTAAAATATGTCCATACATTCTCAGAAACGATTTTAAATTTGAAAAAATCGTGGAAATATGCCCGCACAGCAGCTTTGTTTCGGAAAAGATATAGCCTAAGACAGACTCTTATCCAAAGGATAACTTGGATGTTGACCAAATTTATAACACTTTAAGATGTCTTCAAAAAATCTGATCTATACCGTGCCGTGTTCACAAACTTTTCCGGACACATAATATATTTCTTGAACAACGAATCTTATAATGTTGAAAATGAACAGGGTTTATTCAATCCAGTGCTGGGTTAAGACGCATGAATGGAACTCCTGAATGGAGGGTTACTGTACGTCGAATATCGATAGGTTTCGTCCTGACATGAAGCCAGTGCTTCACACCAAATCTGAAAAACATTCGTTTAAAAACCATAGACTCCATGGACATCGGTGACGACATAATAAATTGTGGATTGTACAGTAATGTTTTCTGGAATATGTGTATTAGACAACAATTCCAACATTTTGATTTAGGCCATTGCATTTGTCATTCTTTCTTGATATGAGTATAACTCTACAGATATAATTCTGTGGGGGATCACGGTGGCTAAGTAAGTAAGACGCTGGCTCGCTAGCCTGGAGGTCGGGTGTTCGAGCCCTGCATTGGAAGAGAAAGTTCATCCAGATTTTCCGGCGTGGTTCCCCATTGTCAGTGACGCAGGACGGAAGGCCTGACAAAGACAGCTGTCTAGTCGTTCGGATGGGACTAAAAATCGAGGTCCCGTGTACACATTGGCGTGCACGTAAAATAACCCTTGACAGTTAGAATTCGATATGAGTAGGCCGTAGCGCAGCTGTCCGGACAAAATTTCCCTCATAGCATACTGTATGGCGTATGTCCGTCTTCATTGGCCCAGTTTGGCGCAGAACAGTACTTAGTACAATAAACCCCATTTCATTTAATTTCATTTCATTTTATAATTCTGTATGTGTTAATTTACGATTACTTTAGCCAAGATGGAAGCATGGTCGGCTAGGTAATTGAAGCCCCTGTATGTCGAGTTAATAATTAAATATCTGTTGTACAGTTCAATTTCGTTCATCAAATCTGAACATGCATCGCCCAAACAACATATCCAGTATGTCTAGTAGTTAAGGAGAAGAAGCCGATAATATGCAAAAATATCTATATATTCGCATTCAAAGGGATATAAAGAACTATGAATAAGCACCACCAAAGCAGTATATGGACAATAATATTGGTATGACAGAGCCCCCCTGGGCAGTTGCTTTGATAGTCTAAAGACCAAGATTTAGAACATTCCATGAATGACTCATATCAGCCTCCATTGCCAAATTTGGAAAACAGTATGATTGAAAAACAAAACAAAAAAAAAACAAAAAAAAAAAAAAACCAACCAACAAACACAACACAATTTATATGGAAAACAATTACTGGTTTATACACATATAGCACGGCGTTTCGACAAGACGTAGTCTCTTATCGTTATCGAGTATAAATTGTGTTGTGTTTTTAATGTGCTCAATCACTAAATGTCACTCAAGAATTACAATACGATAAATGTTTGAACAATTCAGATCCCTCCCTGTCTCACCAACTTTGGAAATATTTTTTCGAGAACACAAAATACAATTTAAATATTAAAAGGCAATTAATAATCTAAATGCACAAAACTTTAAACACATACTGGTTACAACATTTACGCAATAGATAAACTAAAGTTACAAAGCAACAGACTATAAGAGTCCACAGAGGGTATCCGTTCATAAAGAAGGTTTAAGCAGGCACATTAAAAGTGAAATGTGAAGAAATCGCCCAATTACCTTGTCTGAAAGTTTCAAATCAAAATTGTGAGTCATTCGGAAAAGTCGGTAGATTTGATTATCAGGGTTTCGTAACTCATTTCATTTTACAATTGTATTAGTGATTTGATAATGGTGATGATCACTAACCACTATAAACGAAATTAAATGAAATGGGTTTAATGGCATGCTGTTCTGCTCCGACACAATCTGATTAAAATACAGATCTATATTTCGTTTCGTTTTTTTTATACTTTCGACGGCCTACACTACATGAAGATCTGACCAGTTGTAGTGGGAGGTCGCGTCAGGTGTCATACTAACGGCTTTTGACCTTATGACGTCAGACATTAATCAATCAGCGTTGACGTTTCTAGTGGTTTACCCAAAGTACCGTGCATCTCACGCCAAAAACTCACCGTAACAGATCGTTTCATTGGCTAATCCGGCACATCATCCAGAACGCGGGTTATATAACAACTCTTTCAGATCTTAGTGTAGTGAAGACAAGTAAAATGAAATTTTGAACTATAAAAAACGAAACGAAATAGGATCTGTGTTTTAACTAGATTGGCTCCGACATGGATATTAAAGACAGTGCACCTTGCATGTCTCTGTAACCCCAACTGGAAATTGAAAGTTTCTATCATACAATGCCCCAGAGAGACGTTAGGGTTTCTGGGCGTCTTCCACACAGAAATACACCAGTTATTTTCACTTAAATATGTGAGACCACTCCTTTAACCGACACCGACACGGAATAAAAATGTTGCCTATTATTAAACTATTTATAGATAACTATTACACACATGACAGACTGAAGGTCGTCCAAAAAACATCTAATGCGGTTATTTACATGACGTGTTTTAAATGTGTAAACAAATTGTATCCTATTTGTGTTAAATATGTAAACAAATTATGTTCTATTTGTGTTAAAATATTTTCACCTGTGAGTAAATATTATGACAATAGAAAACGTAATAAACAGAATCACCTGTTATAGATTCTACTAGAAAATGAGTATACCTAATTTACAATACAGACAAAATGGACTGTTTTGCTAATGAAGACGGCAATGCAGGGTATTTCGCCCGAACAGCGGTGCTGGGGAATAATTTTTTCGAATTCCAACTGTACGTCAAGAATTCTTTTACGTACACGCCAATATATATACATGGCCTCGTTGTTTTCGTCCCATCCGAACAACTAGACACTGTCATTGCCAGGACCTTCGTCCTGCACCACTGACAAGGCGAATCCACAACCTGGTTAGCGAGTCAATGTCTTACTTAATGAGGCACCACGGCAGCTCACTACAGAGAGGCAAGGTCACTGCACACCAGACTGGAATGTTGAACTCCGGCGTGGACCAAGGCATAATGTAGGGCGTTCTCAAGGCCCGTCTCCACATGTCAGAGGTATCGCCTGTGGGGCTGACAATGACGATCCGAGGTCCCCTAATGTACAGGTTGGCGTGCACAGTTGGATTGCTGCTACCCGGGCAATGTTCACCTCCTTAATATTGCAAACATGATCATAAAAATCACTTTATGTTTTTCTCAACAGGACCTAAGTATCGCGTTGACGCGACTGTCCACTCCAAATAACTGCCTTCCTTTAGCTATATATTTAAGACAAACGAGAAGTTACAAATTCGAGTAATTCGTAAGATAAGTATATTATCAAACAGCCCCGGGACCTGCTCTCTATGACGTCGACATTATGCCGCTTTAACCTTAGTACTTCCCGAAATACTTCCCCTACTTCTAAAATAAACAGCACCAAGAATGATAAACATTTCAGACATTGCTCGTCG